GGGTGGACAATATTAAAATTGATCTTAGAGACACAGGATGGGATGTTATGGATTGGATTGATCTGGCTCAGGATAGGGACCAGTGGAGGGCTCTTGTGAACACAGTAATGAACCTTCTGGTTCCATAAAATGCTGGGAAATTTTTGAGTAGCTGTAGAATTGGCAGCTCCTCCAGAAGTGCTCAGCTCCATGAATAAGTAAGTAAGTAACCTTCTAACATTCTTGTCTGGTCTTGACAGTAGTTTGATGTTCTCTGTGGTTTGCTTAGTCTGTTGAAGCTTCTCCAAAATCCAGCCATCTATTTCTGTCACAGATCAAAGCTACTGTGGCAGTGGCAGGAACTAAATTCCTGCTTTACTTCACTATATGGCATTTCCTACTTTTCCTTACTTCCACAACCACAATCAGGAAACCAGGACATTTTTATAAGAAAGAAAATATTTCGAAAAATTAGAGATACTAAATAAGCAGTCACAGGAAAACTAAGAACAAGTTGGAGAGAATAAATCAGATAAAAAAAAACATACAGAAGAAATTAGCAGAGAGAACATAGGCTATAAGTTGCATACTTACAGGAGGAATAATGGAAAAGGCTTTGCCATCGGCTGACCCACCCTGGTGGATAAGCTAATCAATAAGAGGATACTTACTTACTTACTTACTCATGGAGCTGAGCCCTTCTGGAGGAGCCGCCAATTCTGCAGCTACTCAAAAATTTCCCAGCATTTTATGGAACCCGAAGGTTCATTACCATGTTCACAAGAGCCCTCCACTGGTCCCTATTCTGAGCCAGATCTATCCAATCCATACCATCCCATCCTATCTCTCTAAGATTCATTATAATATTATCCACCCCCCTAGGCCTTGGTCTTCCCTATGGTCTCTTTCCTTCGGGCTGTTAAGAAGATACTGAGTTTCATAATTTAATATTTGTGATCTCTATTATGTGTTAAATGCAAATATTAGTTTAAACTTTTCTCTCATAATCGTTATGTGTGAGTTGGAGAAGGTACTTTGTGTCTGATTGATGAAAACACATTCAGTAACAAAAAAGGAGCTAAGAGGCTTAACATAAAACAAAATAGTGTAGATAATAAATAAATTTAAGTGAAATAATGATCAAATGTGAATCATGTGGATGGCACGTTGATGCAACAAAAGAACAGGAAACCAGACTATCTGAAACATAATAGAAAGTTTCTTCTTCCAAAAATTTTGAATCAGTAAATGAGCTTGATTAATCTTAATTAAATTGTATGCCAGAAGGAAATTAATAAATAAATGTCAGCATTAACAGTAATTCTTTTAAGAAGATGTGATAAATTAAACATTATGATAATCATCCAATGACATTTCCACCATAATGAGTCAACTTATAAAACTTCTCTTCTATTCTTCTATTTTCTCTTTTAAATTCTCCTTTTTAAACTGTGCCAATCCTTCATTATCCTGTTTTGTAACTTCCTTCATCTCCCTTCAAGTGCTTCTTTTTAATCTGTGTCCAATCCTTCCCTATTTTCTTTTATATATGTTGTCCCTCCGGCTCTGGGGCATAACCCAGCCTCCTATCTAATGAGAACCTGGGGCTCTTTCCCCAGGTGTAAAGCGGCCGGGGAGTGAAGCTGACCATTCAACTCCAACTAGTGTCGAGGTCAAGAAAACTTGAATCTATGCATCCACTCCCCTGCACACCTTCATGATGTAATGTTTAATTAGTAAAGCACAGGAAAACTTTACCTTTTTACCTTATATTTTATCTTCTTCCTTATTTTTCCCTTCTACTTAATCCCTGGTCTACCCAGTAATCGCTTCTGTTTCCTGTGGCCAGTAATTCCCTTTTCTCTTTCACACACATTTTTCCATATTCGATCACTTCACTTCTTCCTTGGTCTACCCAGTAAACGTTTCATTGTCAGATTCATATGCTAGAATTTCATAAGAATCCAACTGGCATTCATGCATAACAGTATTACTCTGCCATTAAAATAATCATTTTTTCTAATGTTTCTACAAGTAATATTCATGTACCTTTATATAATTCCTAATGTCTTGGTTCATGACCTTAACACTTCCTATCTCTTTCTTAATATTCCATAAAACACACAAACTATACAATATTAACAGATATACATTAATTGAAAGTCATTCATTTCAATAAAAATACAACAGGATGAACTCTTATATATATGAGAGAGTGATAGAGCTATCAACTGAATGTCACTGGTTTAAATACAAATGCAGTAAAATAAAATAAAATAAGCACAAGGAATGAACTCTTTCATTATACATCGGAATTATAACTTTACAAGGACATGATCAGATGACAATGGATTAAATAAAAATGCAAAAGAAATGAACTCCTTTATCACACATGGCAGTGATGGCTTTACATAATCAAATGTAACCAGTTTACATAAAACATAACAAAAGAAACTCCTGATCATACATTAGAGTGATACCTTAACATCTACCAAATATCACTGATTTAAATAAAAGCACGAAAATGAATTTCTTTGTTACACACTGCATAACAGCTGTACGTAATATAGGAGTAATGTCAATGGTTTAAATGAACGCATAAGAAGATGAACTCAATTATCATACATGGAATTGACAGCTGTACATTAATCATATGTCACTCATGTTAATATAAAAACAACAAACGAACTCCTTTTTCACAAATGGGAGTGATAGCTTTGCAGTAATTAAATATCACTGGTTTAAATAAGATATAAAGTAGGTTGGTGTGATGGTAACGCTTTAGTAAGCAGAAGATACCCAATTCAGAATCGGCAAGACTACTGGAGGTTATTTGTATTTTTCTTTCTTCAAGAAAATTCTATGGTAGCTTCCCCATATAGGACACAACTGTCTCTTTCCAAATCCTTGCCTATTCACCAATCACGTAAAAGTTTAATATAATAACAGTCGATGTTTTTCCATACAGTACCACAAGATGTCATAAAGGAAAGTACCCAGAATTACAGCAACAAGAACCCACTGTTACATTAAACCTTTCAACAAATACCATACCTGCTACTATTTCTAACTTATTCTCAGTCTTTCAGTACTCATAGATACATTAACAGTATACTGAATAATGTATGACTGTGTATGATTAATAGGAAAAGATATAAAATGAATGATCAACCATGGATATGTTATCTACGTTTTGTTCATGAAAATACAAAGAATACGATCAGATAAACCAAGAATTTTAACTATGTTATAAACGTTTTATGTACTATACAACATGTTTCCTTCTTGTACTGTTCAGAAAGATGGACATGGAACAAGTTATAAAATGCAGGGATTAAATTCCTGTATAAAAGTGACAACAAAATAAGAATGCATGACTGTGCACAATGTAGAAACGAGTTTCTACTCGAAAGTCTGTATATTGAAAATGAGAGAACAGTGAATATAAAAATAAATGAGATATTGCCACTCGAAAATGATCGAGTGATGAAAGACACTGGCTATGAATGGAAGGAGTAGCGTGCAACTGTGAATACATTATTTTGGGTCAATGAACTCAGAATCACAGCTCTTTTTACATTTCAGTTATTCATATTCTCCTCTCTGATTATTTTAATGTTAGAAAAGAACTACTGACTTTTAATTATTCTTTCTTTATTAGGCTAAGACAGAGGCATCAGGGTTTGTGTTTTTACAAAACATGGCTCAGAATACAGGAATATCACATTTATCTGACTGTATCCTTCACAGTGTACATAAATGGAGTTTCATTATATTTTGTATTGCAAATATTAATTAGAACAGAAGGTAAGATTTACACCTTCCAGACAATTTTTTTCTATTGCAGTTCTTATTATATGAAGACCAAAATTACTGTTTATGCAGCAAATTATGTCGCCCAACTAATGAGAAGAAGGAATTTCCAGGACAGCTCTTAAGAGGCGAAAAAAACAAATCTTGGATCTGAAGATATTATGACATATTTCAGAATTCCTGAAGTTCTAGACAACACTATAAAGTTCATAAATCTGGTTTTATGCAAACAATAGCATCATTCAAAACGAAAAATGTTTTATGAATATTCGATGCTTTGTTATTATTAAGATGCATCAACAAAACTGGCAAAATGAATTTCCACTTTATATGAAGATTTAAGTACGCTCTTAGAAATAATTCATTAAAACAGAGGTTAAAACCAGGAATACTACCAGGGAAATTTCTAGCTCCTATGAGATAAGTATTACATATTACAAACATATCTTTCATGAGGTGCGTTTCTAAGAGACAGACCACCATATACTAAAATAGATTCATAAATACATCTACAGTAGACATACCTATTTAAGGTACACTATGGACTTTGTTAGCTTTGATGATTACAATACACTTAATTATTAGTGTTCAAAAACAAAGTGCTTGGGACAACATTTGGATTCAACAAGGATGAAGTGGAAAGACACTACAAAACCAGGAACTTTGTTGTCATCCAGTACTGTTATAATAACAAAAACAAGGAAGTTACAACAAGCGACACATATAACTATAATACAGGTTCTGTAACCAGAATGTTAGTTAAATTATTTCAAAATTCTGAGGAGTATGAAGACAAATAGAGCATTAAAAGGTGTATGAATCTGTTGGGAAGAGCAAGTTGTTAGTGGTCCAAAGTACGGTCTCAGCACTACCTATATTTACAAAAGCTAAGAAGAACCTGCCATCAAAATCTGATTCATACACTGCTTGCTCTGCTGAGTCACTAAACGAGAGGAATAAACATTTAATTATTTGTCACCCATAGTTAAATTTCACGTGCTTGTTCATTATTTCTGCATTTCTGAGCATCGCTTTCTGGCAGAAGAGACTCTTTCTTCATTATAATACTCCCATGCTCATCTGCAGAGATCATATCTGCATCTGTTTGTGTACCTTGCTCCTCAAAGACAAACTTCAGTGTGTCTGTCTGTACACTTTGATCTTCAGATGCATGCTTGGCAAGCAGTTCTTGAACTTGTTGCTCCAGTGATCTGAAATCAGAACAGAAGCAGAAGTGCTTACAACAGATCATGCTTTGCTGTTGTACAATACTGGCCTAGCAAGGAATTTATAAACTGAAGTACTGGGGCTATGCTACAAGCCGGAAGGTCGCGGGTACAAGTCCCAATGAGGTCACTGGATTTTTTCAATTGACATAATCCTTCCAGCCGCACTATGGCCCTGGAGTTGACTCAGAGAGAAATGAGTACCAGGAACTAATTAAATAATTTTCCTGGGGAGTAAGGCGCGGCCAGAGCATAAAGCTGACAACCTTACCACCATCTTTGAGCCAAATGTCTAGATAATGTGGGACCCTCAACGTCTCAGAGCCCTATGGGCCTTCACGGACTGGTACAGGGATAGCTTTACTTTTTTACTTTTACTGGGTCTTTTCATTAATATTCATTCAAAATTTATGTATTATTGGATTTAGCAACAAAGCTAAATAGAGAAATATTGAAATAAAGGAGTTTATTTCAGAGTGATATCCTCTATAGGTTTTGTGTCAGTTACATTCTGATTTCCACTTCAGCTCGAAGAGCTTTATGAAAAGAATGCATCTTGTTCATTATACTGATAAATAAAGAATATGAAAGGTAAGTACAAAATGATTGTTATGAATTAAATATATAAACATAGTACTAGTTTCTTAGTTTTAAAAGCTTTATACAAAAATGTCTGTAGCCAAGAGCCTCATTCCATTATTTCTCCACAAATATTGCTCCCTGGTTAAGTTTATCAATTGGGTACAATTAACTGGACAAACCACTAGAGGAGCTTCGCAGGCAGAAAGCAGCAAAAGAAAAACATCAACTGAAATGCCTTCATGAGATGATCATTCATATAAGAATTAAGGACATAATTACAGATTTTACTAAAAACAGACTATGCTACCAAAAACTGGAGAGAGAAACTGAAAAAAATTGTTGTGCTCATTCTGAATACATACTTTATTTATAGACCTGAATGTCAGGTTTGTTTGATCAGATATTATTGAACAGAAATTATGACAAATTTAGAAATCTATAAGATCTGACTCAGGTGTAACTATCTGTTTGATTTCTCTTACTTCCACATTTATCTAAGTATCCATTCCACTAACTTTCAATATACCTATTAGTCTTAAGATAAAAAATTTAACCTACACACAACTGGCTTTCCAATGGAGAGATAAAAATCTCTGAAAACCCCAAGGACTATGGGGGTAAGATTCTTCCCAGTGTTATAATCATCCCCTCTTTCTCCTTACATCCCCTTCTCATGCATGAGGCTTTGGCAAACAGGGTCAGAGAAGTATATTCTGTATGAATGATGTAGAGGAAATGCCACAATCAAAAGTTCAGAATCTTAAAAGATATACAGTAGAACTTGGTTATAACGTCATCAAAGGGACCTAAAAATAGTGTCGTTACAAACGAATGTCGTTGTAACCGAAATGGGCACTTCCACAAGCCTTATGTTAGTCACGTAAAAATCTACCAAAAACCGAGTTAAAATGTTGCATTTTTTAGTGAAATACGTAGTTAAGTACAGACTAATGTAACATTAACGTGGAATTAATATGGATTCTCCATATCGTTTGTACTGTAGAATTCACCAAACCAAATTCGCGGCATACATCAGCTTTTTTCCTTCCATTTTCTATTTCACGAATCACTTTAACTTTCTCTTCAATGCTTAAAACTTTCCTTTTCATTGCCATGTTTTCGCTACTGCACTTCTCTGGGTTTAGGCAGGGACACTATAGGGTAAGTAGACAATGTGAGGTCCTGTTAGACGAGATTCTAGGAAAGGAATGCAGTTAACAACCTGCCGCGTCCTCTTGCACTATTCACGCAGTCCCACCCCACACCCTTGTTTTCGCATAAAACCCACGCTCCTCTTGCAGCCCGCGGTCGTATTCTTCCAGGACAGTCACGTGAGCAAGTAGAGAAAGTGAGGGTGGGCAGACACATCGAACTTTCCCACGATATCTGAGAAATTCAGGAATGAAAATGACGTTACATACGAGGTTGATGCATTTGTGCATGTCGTACTAAGCAAGGTATAAAAACAGTTGCTTTATGAGGAATTAGTTCATACCATTGAATATTTGACGCAATATACAAGGTGTCGCAGAAACCGATGTTGCTATAACCAAGTTTTACTGTACTTGGACAACCTGAAGGGAAAACCAGAGCACAGATGGGAAGGTAATATTAAAACCGAGTTTGGTAAATGGAATATGAGAGTGTGGACTGGATTCAGCTTCCTCAAGATAGAGTGCATAATGTAAAATGACAGGCCCTTTTCAACACAGTATTGAAACTTCGGGGCCCATAAAAAGTGCAGGTATTTCTTTCATAGCTGAGAAATTAATAAATTTTTAAGAGAAAGTATAGAGAATAAAGTATAAAGTTATCAGCTAGTTAGTTTGTCAGTCAGTCACTCAGTCAGTCAGCCAGTAATTGAGTGAGTGAGTGAGTGAGTGAGTGAGTGAGTGAGTGAGTGAGTGAGTCAGTTAGTT